TGTTGTAATGGACTAAGAGCTAGTGAACGCCAGATCTACGTTATTTTATAACAGTTGACAGTTTGGCGGGCCGCCACCAACCTGGCAACATGAAAGCATTGGGGGAGGCCTATGTTCAGCAGTGAACGTCCTATGGCTGAGATGTAATGATGATAATAAATGTTTGTCAGCGCATGCAAGAACGTTGGACCGGCAGCTACCCTAAATGATTGTCTGGCAAGGGGTTGGTACGGAATCTGGCTGATGAGGATTTTTTTAAATTGCTCTATAATATTGAAGCGACAATAGCCCAACAGTGTCGGTGTCGGATTGGCCGAATCGAGATCCAAGGAACGTGGGTTCGAATCCCGCTGTCGCTGGACTATTGTAGAGAGCCCACTCGTGACACAAGCATATTATTTAGCTTACTACGAGGGGTTAACGGGACTATTCGTTCGTTCGTACGTTTCAGCCGAAAGACGTCCACTGCTGGACAAAGGCCTCCCCCAAGGATTTCCACAAAGACCGGTCCTGCGCCGCTTGCATCCAGGTACCTCCCGCGACCTTCACCAGATCGTCGGTCCACCTAGTGGGAGGCCTGCCCACGCTACGTCTTCCAACGGGACTATTAGTAATTTATATTTATTACAAATTATTATTCATGTAAAAAAGGTATTGTCTAGAAGTACTTGACAGATTGTCCATAACTGAGATATTGTCCTCAAAGTTTGCGACATTACTTACCTAATATAAAACAAAGTCGCTCAGACCCTATGTATGCTTAGATGTTTAAAACTACGCAACGGATTTTGATGAGGATTTTTTATTAAAGAGTGATTCAAGAGGAAGGTTTCTGTATAATACATTGTACCTGTGCGAAGCAGAGGCGTGTCGCTAATTTATCAATAAGCCATTTAGTCGATTGCTAGTGAGGGAAGAGCGACTCATGAAGGCTGTTATCGTCAAACTGGCTATCATATCGTATAATGAAACTGAAACTGACAGCAAATGTGAGCAATGTCTTCAATAACTCAACTCCTAACTGAGAGGTGTGGCTGCAAAGGGCATAATAAAAGTACATTCACCACATTTTACTTCATAAAAAACAGGTACAAATTCTATTTCTTTACCTTCATTGACGACTGAGGCACAAATCTCCTTTCAGAGTAGTGAAAACTCTTTTTTTTGTTTATTTACTAGAAAAATCTTTTACCTGTTATTTACGACACGTTCCATTAGTACAAATGTCTATTTGTATCACTTTCATTTTCCTCTTGCGAGAATCACTTTTATGTTCTAAAAGCTCTCATACCCTTTCTTTGTTTATATTTCGTAACAGAATTCCCTGTAATAGGTCTTGAGTACTCGCATAACTGTTACACAAATACTCGAAGCAGTAACGTAAGGCTGCGTCTACACTCGAGATGTGAACCGCTTGGCAACTCAAAGTTCGAACACTTGCCGTACTTAGTTGAGGTTTTGTTTGCTGGCTGGCATTTGCTCGTGACGTTAGTTTACGACAAGAAATACAAAGGGCCTGTTTTGAACTTATCTGACAGATAAACTACAACGTTTGGTCTCGAAGAGACATCTGCAGGGCACAACTAAGTAAGCACTAGGAAACAATTTTAATAAGGTATTTTCATCAATAACATATCGTGGTAATCAAAAACCTTTACTCGTTAGTAAATAATTATGCCGTTAAATTAATTACCTGAAACTCAGGGTGGATTCGACCAAATAAGAGTAAATATTAATCTCACAATAAATCGTCAGTTATTCGACATTTCGACATATCATATTATTTCCCATATTGAAACTGTCAATGTGCCAGTTATACCAGGAGTTATTCTCGGTTAAAAGTTTGTTCGAATCGGACCTTAATCGTATATCGATTGAGATGATATTGTTCTAACTAGAATCGGTTTTTGTGATATCGTTATGTTATAATGTCAATGATGCCAAGGCGGTCCTGCGCTACCAGCATCCAATAACTTCCCGGGACTTTTACCACTACTGCGACTGTGATGTGAACAAATGCATTTTGATGCATCAGTGTGTATTCACCCTTAGAGAAAACATACCTAAAAGGATATCAGTGTACCATGAAGGTCGCTTTCGTAAAATAACTGTTATTGGGTTTCACTGACTGTGTCGGCACAACTTTGGTGTGTAACAGTCACGGTTATTGTCTTTTAAATTATTCTAACGGCGGTTCAGGGTTGCCAGGGGTGAAATTTAATTAGTGAGGCCAGTTCTTTGCTTTTATTTCTGTAAAAGTTTTAAACTTTGTCATAATAATTATGATTGTATTGCGCGTTTTTTCACTGGTAACGATAAATATGCATGTTTCAAAGAGTAAATCCTGCCTTTCTTTTTCTATGGCTTTCGTGTTTAAAGGAAAAGCTCTTGTACCTATTACTTAGGGTGGATTCGACCAAACAAGAGTAAATATTAATCGCAGAACAAATCGTCGGTTTTGACATATTTCCCATACTGAAATTATCAATGTGCCACTTATACCAGGCGTTATTCTCGGATAAAAATTTGGTTGAATCGGCCCTTAAAAGGATTATTAATACAAATTAGTAAAAGATCTAGTGCTCTAGCTTGAATAATTTTTTGTTGGACATTTTAAGGCCACATCAAGCTGAGTTATCCTACATCAGACTCCTTGACAGCTCATACAAAGAAAAAAATAAACCTAGCTCAAATATTGTTCTGTCTTCCTAAGTATTTGTATTGTTGCAACCACAATCCATGTTACAGTGAATAGAATATAATAGTTTTTATTTTGTCCAGACATAAAAAAAATTTGTGGGTCACAAGATGGATAGATGATATCATAAAGGTTGCAGAAAAGCTAGAAATACAGACTGCTACCAACCGGCCAATCTGGAAATCATGGGGGAGGCCTATTAGTAACAGTAGTAGACGTCTTATGGCTGAAATGATGATAATACTGACGACAATCCTTGTTACAGAAAAGTTCTGAATGAAAATAGCATCAAAAGTGGAATTATCCTTATATTATTATAATAGGGTAGTTTCCTAAAAAATTTTTTTTAGTCCGTCATGTTTAATATCAAAAAATATCGGACACATATATTTTTATTTGTCAATCTAACAAATAATTACATAGTTATGGTGCGTTGAAGTTCCGCACGAGGTCACAACGTGCGGCACTTTTATGCACGCATTGACATCACGGGCCTCTTCTTATGAACTTTGGCGCGCTTTATCTCTTTAAATTTTAATTAGTTTGAACAAGTGAAAAATACGTGTAGAGTATTTTTTGATAAGTTAACTGACGGACTAATTAAAACTCTTGCTTTTTGACCCAGGAAACATCCCTAATAGGGATAATCAGGGTGGTTACAGCAATAGAAATTCCCACTAACAAACTTATCAGTGTGCCTACCATGAGTTTACGTTAGGTGAGCTCGCTAGCGAATACGTCAAAAAATTCTATGAAGATTTTATTTCTTGAAAGTAGCCACTAGGGGCGCTGCACAATATGTCATACATTTAAATGTCATTTTTTTACGCAGTCGCTAGCGAGCACACCTAACGTAAACTCATGGTAGGCACACAGAACCAACCTATCGATTGTTTGACAGCCCTATGCGGGAAAGTAACGTGTTAATTAGAGATAATGCGGTAGAGGTCGCTGCATCGGCGAAACTAACGAGCTCTTGAGGGAACCTTTTTGAGCACACAGTGTTTGCTCAGCTTCATTGTAACGGTTAGAAATGACATGGAAAGCTGACTGGTATAAAGGTTTTATACAAATCTTTTGCAAACTTTTTTGGGGAACCAGAAGCAGATTGCAGTTTTTTTTTATTGTAATCTTACCCTGCCCCTGGTACCTGTTAATTTTTGCCTGAAAAGTCATACTGTTGGGGCATAATGCTATCTGTAGATACTTAGTACCAGTCACTAGCTATTTGCAATTGATAAGTGTGAGTGAAACGCTATGTGTGTGTGAGATACAATCCAGACAACGTGCCTGCCTGCTTTCATAAAAGTTCGTTCGTTCGTTCGTTTCAGCCAAATGACGTCCACTGCTGGACAAAAGCCTCCCCCAAGGTTTTCCACAATGAACGGTCCTGCGCTGCCCGCATCCAGGCTCTTCCCGCGACCTTTACCAGATCGTCGGTCCACCTAGTAGGAGGCCTGCCCACGCTACGTTCATAAAAGTAACGAATATCTATTGAGAGAGAATGTCATAATCGACACATGGGCTCCACTTTTGGTTATTTAAAAATAAATAATATTAGTAATTTGTATTGCATAAGTTACTAATAGTCCCGTTAGTCCCTCGCAGTAAACTAAATATGCTTTAGGTGTGGTATTTGGGTCTTTAGAAGCTAACTCTAGTTTTTGACGCCTGGGAAGATATGGCTAGGGGAATGTCTTAGAACTTAGCAATAAGACCATAAATCCTCGTCCACTGCTGAACATAGGCCTCCCCTAATAAGTTCTATACTGATTGGTTAGTAGCGGCCTGCGTCCAGCGCCTTCTTGCTACCTTTCTGATGGCCATAACTCTTCAAACTAAGCTTTTATTTTGATTACCCCATACACAGCTCCGAGGGGCATCACGAGGCATGCCACCATTAGGTCAGCCACCGCCAGCGAAGCCACCAGATACTTGGAAGTCCCGACCCGTCTGGCAAGCTTAGGAGTGTAGTTCAAATTCTTCATTTACTTCTGGTAATTTGCAGAGTTATGAGAAGAAGTGATGACATTTATCAACGATAGCAGCCCGACGCGAAGTACCGTATTTGTGGTGTCAAGCCCCAGAAGGGGGAGAATTGACTATGAGAAGGGACATGGATCAGATAAATTTGTAGGGAGTCAAGCAAAGCGCCCGGGGAAAAGAGCCCAGAGCAAGTACCCGCGCGCTCTCCCGAGATTCGGTTCGTACGCCGTGAGGCAGGAAGAACCATGGGTGGTGGTGGTAATTTGCAGAAGGTGTTGTCCCTGCAGTGACTAAATTTCCTGATGATGATTATTACCTCATAGACAGCTCCGAGGGGCATCACGAGACACGCCACCATCAGGTCAGCCACCGCTAGCGAGGCCACCAGGTAGTTGGCCACGTTCTGCAGATTCCTCTCGATTATGATGGCTGCTATGACGAACACGTTACCTGGGAATAAACACAATTTATTTTAATAAATCCTGTACCTAATTAAAATCTTTCACGACAGAAAATGTTCTAATGTTCAGTGGGTTGGATATAGACGTAGACGATAGCACGTAAGACTACAAATTTTCATTATTACCCATGATTACCCCTACAACTACCGTAGTTTATACATTAGGCCCAGAACAGACGGTGAAACGCAACTGAAACGAAAATGCAACTGCTAGTTACTTTTGAGTTGCATCTAAGTTTCTGCCATAGCGTCAGTTGAGAGACCACACATGACGCGACCAGTTTGAAACTTTTAGTTTTATTCATCAGAATCATCAGAAAGTTGCAGTTTCGTTGCAGTTGCGTTTCACCGTCTGTTCTGGGCCTTAGTGCGAATATAAAATCAAGTTTATTTGTTCCTAAACTAATCGTTAAAAAACAACTACTCTTTTTCTCAGCCGCATCGTTAAGCTGTCGGTACGATTAACCAAGTCAGATTCGTGACGTCACTTTCTATAAACTGGCATATAAAGTTAAGGTACAACAGTCTATAAGTTCCAAGCCAGTGCATCTGTAACGAATTGCACGTTGCACCATTTTGTAGCGGCCCAACGTCACGTTTTGCATCGTGTGCAGTTGTCAGGAGACGTTGCATGCGTCAGTTGTTTTCCGCGCGCTTCCTAATCGCTCACTTAGGCGATTATCACACTGCGCCGCGCTCCGCCGCGGTACACGGGACGACAGATTTAATCATTGTATGCAAGTACCTCAGTTTGTATAGAAAACACGCGCGGCACAACACACTGACAACGCGTCCGCGCGCGGGATTTTTTATATGAAGTCACGCGGATCGCGGCGGAGCGCGGCGCAGTGTGATTACCGCCTTACTGCTAGGCTAGTTTAGCTCTTAACTCAGTCAGCGCATGAGGTATGGGAGCGTCATGGGATCAGCGGTGACATTGACATGATGTTTGATGTGCAGGACATTAAGTACGCTAAAGAGCTAAAGTTTCAAATCAAATCAAAAATTTTAATACCTACTGAGGACCTATTCCAGGGCTCTTATAAACGTCCCAATTAAAGTTTGCCCTACCACCACTTCAGGGCAACATAATTATGGGATAGTGCTGAGAAGAAGTGACAGAAGAAACACACCTTTGTCAGCCTCTTTTTCAATTAGATACAGCAAATATTTACATTAAACAGAGTTTTAACTAGAGAATTGTGTCGTGTCGTGATGGCTTCCAGCATGTCGCATAAAGATCTATGTTCTAATTATGATATCACAACACTTCAGACAAATATAAATCCACCTTTAAGCTATAAATACTTCTGCGGACATTATGTAGAGTGCAAATAAATATATTTTTTCCAAATATTATCTATGAAAACTATTTAATTCCATCCATCACTTACCATTACGAGTTAAGGCATACTTAGGTCCAAGCAAAAAATATAAGTAACAAAAATCAATCTATCTCAGCAAACTCATCATTACTTTCAAGACGCTATTATTGTGATCATAAAACAGATTGTAAACAATATATTGTTCTTCATAATCCTAAATCCAACAGTTATTACAATAAAACCCAAGAAACTTTTGCCTGAGTACACAGTGGAAATTAATTACAAAATCATGGTCTCCATAGACTTATTACGTGTTCCTAGAGTTGCTATTACAAAAAATAATTCTTCTAGACTTTGAGAATTGATAAAATTCAATAGTATACATATAATTAATAGTATTCTATGTAACTATTGTTACACCACCATACAAATTGAGGACTTTGAACTTTTATGAGCTGTCAAAAAGCGATAGACTTTGTATGACAATAAAGCTATGAAATTACTTAAAAGGCTACGGCGGTTATCACACTGCGCCGCGCTCCGCCGCAGAGCGCGTGATTTTCATATAAAAAATCACGCGCGCGGACGCCTTGTCAGTGTGAAGTGCCGCGCGTGTTTTCTATACAAACTGAGGTACTTGCATACAATGATTAAATCTGTCGCCCCGCGCTCCGCGGCGGCGCAGTGTGATAACCGCCTTAGGCTTACAACTATCTATTTATTTAAAGAAACTTTATGTACAATCCGGATGAGTTAACTGCGCACCTGATAAGCGTGACGTCATGTCGACGCTCTGGTACGCAACGGAACGAACGTGGAGGTGTACGGATGAGTGCAAGGGAGAGTCGCATTTCAGCGAGGTGCGCAGTTTGGTATACAGGGCTAAAAACCTGTATGTAAATGTGAGTTTTATATAACCTGACTATATTTACTCGTATTCTTGACAATTTCAATTTAGAAATCACTCCAATCCGACTTTATTTAGGAACTACTCGAATCGAAATTGTATTTGATTTCACTTTATTACCACTGTATGGCGATTATCGTGCGACAAGTCGCGTTACCTTTCCATAATCCAGGACCATAACGGAACGAGTTAAAGTCAACAGTGTTGCCACTCTCAAGTTAAATATTACAGTTAACAGCCTATGGAAACAAGTTGGTACTGCAAATAAAGTGTACGAAGTTTTTGTTGGATTTAAGTAAATGTGGCAGTCAACTAGCGTTTATTAATGGGGTTGAACTTAGAAAAAGCTTTTCTCCATTTTCAGTGTTGATTTTGTTGTTGTTGGGGCTTTGGTTATATATTTCTAGACTGTGTAGTGCTATAAAAAATAAGGCCAATGTGTAATAAGAGTGATGAATAGATGTAAGATAAATACAATATACCTACTTAGTTAAAGTCTAACTCAATCACGCCCGTATTCACAAACATTACTGTGAGGTCTCACAGTGCGCGTGGACGCACAGGGTATTATTATGTACGTATTATTATACTCTGTACAAACCATAGCAGGCCAAGCGAAACACTGCAGCATCTTATTCAGTTGCAATAAGTGATATTTTGTAACAAAAAATTTAATGTATACTTAGGCTGGGTTGCACCATCTTACTTTAACTTTGACAAACGTCAAAATTCTGTCAAATTCTATATAGATGACCCACGCTGAACTGTCCCACCAAACTCAATGACAGGGGGGCGCTACCATCGTTTAACTATATGGTTTCCAACATGGCAAAAATCGGAACCAGCGATCCGGTATTGACGGTGGCGCCCCACTGTCAATGTCATGCATAGGCCAGTTCAGTATTTTGGAACTTTACCAAAACACTTGTTATCGATAAAATTACGGTCAAAGTTAGGTGGTGCAACTTAGCCTTAGTCTGATGTGGGGTACAATTTGAAGCTCGTCACTTTAAAATTCAAGCAACTCACAAGTTGTAGAGTGAGAGCCGCGTAAACCGTTTAGTTAAAGTTTCTGGCTCGCGGTTACAGTTGAAGTTAGTGTTTGAACGTTTGCTTTGGGGTTTTGGGTCCGAATTGGTTCGTATTAATACGACTACCTACTCGTATTATTTTTATTGTTATGAGTACAGAGTAGTGTGTCTTAAAAGTGATCACTTAAAAGTGTGATTTTTGTGTAAAATTTTATCTGATAATAAATTCAGTTATTACCTTTAACGCAATATGCACAGGAAAAATTGCGAAGTATATTTTAACTGAGCTGAATTTTTTAGTTGGATGAGCGTGTGTTTGATTTTGTAAAAAAAATCTTAAATGCATACAATAAAACAAAAGTCAGCCATTATTTTAGACTTAAGTTAAAAGTGGTAACTAAAATGAAATTTAAGTCCTCTTATGCAGACTTGCAGAAAGACATGTCATTATTAGCACAATATTACGTTAATTAGTAGGTACCTATGCAGCAGAATCATAAAATTTTGAATTATGTATAAAAGTTCCCGAGATCTCACAAAAGAGTTGGCATACTGACCCTTTCTGCTCTGTGGCTCGACTGTAACACTAGCACCAAAAAGAGGGCGTATAAAATCCGTTAATAGTGCCGGTTTTTGCGGTTACGTAGTTCAAATGCACATACATTTCAATTTTAAACCGAGTTCAGAGATAATATTTTTATTCCATCGGCAATGGGTTCGGACTTTTCATTTTTCATATTTCGTGTGGAGGTGCATTCAGACGCAGCCTTTTTAATCCATTTTTAGGGTTACGTACTTCAAAAGGAAAAAACGGAACCCTTATAGGATAATAAAATGATGTATTAGTTAATCACACACACACACACACACACACACACACACAAACACGGTCCAATTATGCATGCATAAATATTATAATTTCTTTTTCGTTGTGGACTGACAGTTGAGGTCGCATATGATATAAACAATTTTGTTAACTTGTGACAAAAGATTGTCTACATGACAGGCTTAGCCTAGCGTAGAAATCTCAGTTACTTTATGAACTGAAGCGTATGTCGGTACAACCTTAGCATTAAACGGGTCTTTAAGGAAATGTATGTACAACAATGCAATGTAAGCAATGTAGAAAATGTTAAAGTTGTTAAATAAACTTTTATTATTTATTATTATTATTATTAATTAAAATGTAATGAATCATTATATTTCAATGAGTACTTTAACTATGAAAAACAAACTGTTTTTATTTCCTCGTGTAAAGTTTGCACAAATGGACATAAGCAGGTTGAAAATTAGGCTGTCGATATTAAATACTCAGGTTTATAATACAGTTATAGCTTAAAGGTAAACTGTTACAAAATCGAAGTTATATCCTACCTACAGGTTTGTACGGAACCCTCAGTGCGCGAGTCCGACTCGCACTTGGTCGGTTTTTGGAGAGGAATGGAGGTTTTATCTCTTAGTTACGGAAAAGCTGGGATATTATTAGTGGTTTAGAGTTCAGATTACAGTTGTCTTTGTTGTTTAATTTATTTGCTGACATAAATATTGTCACGAGAAAAACACTGTAGTTCCTTGTACTGTAAATATTCGTGAGGAAAAGTGATCTATAAAGAAATAATGTTTTCTTTAGCAGTTTCAGAGGCTATTTGTTATGGACATTAACATACTTACGAAAAACCTCTTTATAATATTAGCACTTTGTTATGCCGTAATGTAGTGAATAAATTGTGAAATATGTTCCTTGAATACGATGTTATTTTATTGCCTCACATTTTATAAAGGCCACTTTCGTTCGCTCGTTTCAGCCCAATGATGTCCACTGCTGGACAAAGGCCTCCCCCGCGCTGCCCGCATCTTATTACTTCCC